GTGTGATGCCATGTGTTGTTGTTCAGGTTAAAAAAGAACAATTACCAGGAGATGTTGTTCATTATGTCTCAATATGTTAAACCCTGATAAGGAGGTCTATTTTCTTATTACCATGACTGTAAAAAATTCAAGACAAAAGAAAAGTTACAATGGGTTAGTTTAGCAAACTGTAAAAACATGAAAATTCAAAAACAGTATTGTTAAAGCTGTAACTTGTTATAATTTGATAATGAACATGTCTGATTCTGAGTCAGTATATTTAAAGATTCAAAGCTCACTGCCTGAATTTTCTGGAGACAGAGGCTGCATRCCAGTTGTTGTTCCAGGGCTTGAGTTTCCAAATTCGTTGTCCAAAATTTGAGATTTCCTCTCAGTCGGATGACACCTTGGGTTTTTCTGAAGCTCTCTCTGATCTTCTTGTCTGTCTGCAGCCTCACGGTCTGCAGCTCTGTTTTGGTGAAAATGAGGACTGTGAGCCTTCTCCTCTGGACCGAGGTAGTACTGAAGGTCCGTGGGGATAAAAGCTCTTGCTAGTAACGTATTTGTTTCAACCATGTTCTCTGATGCTTGTTCTGATTGTTGTGTAGTTGAGTTGTTTGTACTTTTCTGCATATCTTCATGTTCAAAACATGTTCCTTTGTCTACTAAAAATAAAGACAGAGGAGGAGGAGAGGTAGCATCATCATCATCAGGCTCTTTGTCTGTTTGAATTGTTTGTTTTGACACATGTGAGGGACTCTTCTTTTGTCTTGAATCTATCGGCTCCTCTTGTTCTTCTTTAGTTTTAGGATCAATATCTATTGGAAAGGTTTTAAAGGGAGACCCATCCAATCCAGATCTTTTAGCACTGGAAGATTCCAGAGGCAGGACCTTAGGGTGATAGGTCTTAGATGGACTCCTCTGGGCTTCTTTATCCTTATCTGTTTTTGGAGGTTGAAATGTTTTATGACTTAAGGTCTTTTCTTTTGACTCAGTTTCAGACTCAAGGAAATCTTTACTGTAATGTGACACTGATTTGCTCGAGGTCGTCTTCGTTCTTGTAGAGATTACTTTTGGCTCTGTATTTTCCTTCTCCCAAAATTGTCTTAGCTCATCAATCTTACTGAAACTCTTCTCTTCAGGTGCAGACCTGGGCTGTGTGAGAGGAGAAGCTTGAATATGCCATTCCTGTTTTTGAGCGTTAAGTGCAATATTAGGTTTAGGAGAGATTTTGCTCTCCTGTGGTTCAGTAATCTGTAATCCTGTTCCTAAATCTACTACCAGATCATCTGTCTCCTCGTGGATGAGGACAAGGTTAGCTCTGTATGTTCTGTTATCTTTAGATACATTTGTTAACCTGTTGTAATCAGTCTGTGGGGCGGTAGAGGAGCTAGTTTGAGTGTAATCAAAGGATTCTCTTATTTGTTTGGTTGGATCATGTTTTTCTTTTTCTCCAGTTCTTAAAATAAAACCCTGTTTATCCTCTGAACTTTTTTTCAGGTGAGATGTTCTACTTGAACAATGCGTTGGTTGATCTTCTGATTTGTCCTGCTTTGTCATCTGAGTTGGCTCTGCTTCATTTTTGTTGCTCATATCTGTGGGATGTTTGGAGTAGCTCTCTTCTTTGGTGTTCTGTTTAGAAATCTTCRTTTCCTTTTTGGGTGGACTGTGAACTTGGGTAATTTTCTCCTTTTTTCCTGTAAAAATTCCAAGCATTTGTTGCTCATATTTTGGCACAAGACCTTGAGATACATTTGTTGAAATGTCAGTGGGTGATGGCTTCATATCAGGATTTGTCTTATAATAAATGTTATGTTTATCTGACCAGACTTTAGCTTCAGTTTGACAAAGACAATCCTTTTTGTGTTCTTTCTCTGGATCAAGGGGCTTACATGGCTCTTCTGTGATCAAAACAAAACTAGGCACTGTAGGATTTAGTGGGTCAAAGTCACATGTCTCAGAGGCACCTGCAAAAACAAATAAAATGTTGTGTACATTTTGACTTGAAACTACAATATAACTTCCACTTGTTTAAAAGTGTTGATGATTATCAAGTGAAGCAGAATAATTTGTATTTAAAGAGTAACTTACCCCAAAATTAACTTTTTTTAGCTGATAAACTGTCTAGAATGTGTCTAAAATGTTWTGTAGTACTGTTTCTGTGCTAATTTTGATGTTTTTGTGTGTATTTGTTCAAATCTGTAATATTTGGTCTAAAAACGTCTTTTTGCTGCGCTTATGGGTGGAGCAGTGGTACTGCAGGCTAATTTGCATATTGGTTAACGGCTCTCCGCTGTGACGTGTCTTCTGCACGGTTTCGTCACAGCAGCTGTGTTCTGGTATAAAAGCCTCTCTCTAAGACACGCCCCTGCAGCAGTCAGAGGGTGGAACAGTTAGCAAGCTTAGCATGATCGTCTGTTGACCTTCAGCACACACACACACACACACACACACACACACACGCGCGCGCGCGCGCACGCACGCGCACACACACGCACTCCAGCAGTACTCCTGCACAGCGGGAGGGGAGGAGGGAAAAAAAGGCAGAAAGTCAGGCTCTTTCTGCCTCTGGGGAGGATGGGGG